CATAGTATGGTAGGAGGGCAGAGCAGCAGGACTGCTAGCATATGGAGGAAAACAGAGAGGACTAGATGCTTTGTACAAGCAAGTCCTGAAGCAAGAGTAAGTAACACTCGTTTGCTGCTTCTGACTTCTGTGACTCTCTTCTCCCATCAGGTGACTGGCTTTGACAGTGTTGATGATGAGTCCAAGCACAGTGGCCATATGTTCTCTGACAAGAGCCTTAACCCTGACCTCTGGACCAGTGAGAAGAATCCACCGTATAGCTATTATTTGTATTATATGTATGTGAACATCATGTTGCTAAACAACCTTAGGAGGTAAGTAGTCATTTTTTCTCTTTTACCAGATTCCAGAAAGAAAAATAAAAAATCTTGGTCTCAATCTAAGTCAGTGCCTAGATCATACATCTTTTGAAGCAAAGGTTATCTTAAATTGTTTTAAAGAGTCCATGAGGAGTACATGAGTTATTTTGAAAACGTTAACTGCAAAATGAATTCAAATGAACCCCCCATGGCAGGGGTTGGACTGGATGATCTTTAAGGTCCCTTCCAACCCAAACCATTCTATGATTCTGTGAAATACTCAAAAATTGTAAAGCATCAGATTAATATCTTGGTTTGAGATTTGTGTGTGTTTTTGTTTTGTGAATTCCTTAAACCTGAATATATCAAACAAAACAAAAGAAGAAACCCCACAGAATTGACTTGTTGACCTTTGCTTGGATTCACAGTGGATTTCCAGATACAATGTACGTGTTGGTAGCTTGCTATCTCCTGGTAAATTAAGAAGTACAAAGTGATGTTGTGAAATACTGGTTTAAGGACTGCTGCTGTTATCAAAGATAGACACAGGAGGACATAATGATGAACTGCACATAGAGTTAACTTGCTTTAGCATACTTGTTGACTCATTCAGTTTTACTGCTTTTGAGACTGGTGTCTAGGCAATCAGTGCAGGGAGTTATGATACTGAGTACGAGATCATGACTGTAAAAGCCGATTGTGGCATCAGGCTCAGTAGAGCCTGAAATCAACTTGAAGTTATGTTCCTGACTCTGTGGCTGACTCACTGAGTGATCTGCACAACTGACTCCAATTGAGGCACAGTGAGGTTATCCGTTGAGATTACGGTGTCACCACTTACCTTGCAAGGATTTGGTTCATTATTATTTACAAAATATTTTGGGATTTTCTTATAGGATGTGCACAGATGTGTCATTTTAACAGGTCTTATGCAAGTTAACATTTAAAATGTTATTTCTTCTCTCCCACTGCTACCTCAAGCATTTCTTTACCATCCTATATAATCAAAACTCGTAATAAAACCATCTACCTTAAATTACCTTGTACCTGCAACAAACAGCTCTAGTTTGTAGTTTTATTTTTGTAATGGAAAGGACACAGTGCAGCAGGTATCTGAGTCATCCCTTTCTCTTGACTTCCTTTACATTCTCTGTAGTCTTAATTTTTTTCTTTTCCAAAGACAGAGATTCTGTCAGAACTTACGCATTTCTTTTTTACCTCAAGATAATTTCAACTACTGTTTGAAAATCTCCCTATATAATCATTAAATATTCTTTACAGCTAGGTGAGATGATGACACAATTAATCAATGAGTCAGTAAAACTGTTGCCCATGTTAAATGTACCAACATAGCAGAGGCACCACAGCCAGTCCATAACAAGACTGTTTTATACTTTTGGTAGTATTAGCAAAGTCAGCAAGGATGGATTACATCCTCACATCCCTTTTCAGGAGAAGTGTTACTAAACATCCATGCTAGAACTGCCTCATACTGCAGCAGTTCTTGTTGAAATGCTTTGTTTTGAAATCGCCAGATACTTATGGGATGTTTGTCTGTACTGAATAACAGGGTCCATTATAACCTAAAACCCAGCATAATTTTTAATACAGATGATAAAAGTAAAATGCTTATAGAAATGACAGTGTGAAGTCTCGTGTAATAACGAACACTCCTAGATCACCTCTGTGCTACTGAGGGTGGTGTTCTATGCTACACTTGACCCGGTGAGATGGGAGGTTGCCGTCGCACTAGGTAGTGTAACCTTACTCTTGGCACTGTGCTTCCACTTCTTCCCTCATTTTGAATCTAGGAATTATGTAGCCATAGGTTGCATCAGTTCCCTTAGCTTTCCATCTGCCAGTTCCCTCAACTGAAATCAGTTCAATACCTGTTCCTCAGCATATAAAGAATTGCTAAGTGAGATGCAACTGGGGAAGGAAAGATGAAGAGAGACACAAATGTGTCAGGGGGTGGAAGGGGCTTGGGTAGAGGGACCTGCCCGTTTTGACAGCAGCCCACAGGTAGGCCTGATTAGATGTCATGCCAAACTGCATGAGAGTGTGAAACTTTTTTTTTTAATTCCCATATTAATGATGATTATATACAAAATTGCTTAACAGCTGAAGAACAGTGCAATTTTTGTTAGTGAAACTTGCTTTTGATCTCCTCAGGGAAAGAGGCATGTGTACTTTTCTGTTCCGACCTCACTGTGGAGAAGCTGGGTCTATCACACACCTTGTATCAGCCTTTCTCACAGCAGACAACATTTCTCACGGATTGCTCTTGAAGAAGGTATTGCTTGGTTGCTCACCTAATCACTCTCTGCTTAGACTCAGTCACTGGTTCAAACAGCAGTCACCAAACTGACTTTATCTGGGCAGCCCAAAATTAATTTTCTTAGCAAGGTACAAGTAACTCTTCACTTTGCTCAGCTGGACTTCCTATTTCTTATTTAAGCTACAAAAATACAGCTTTTCCTAAGTGAATATTTTAAAGCTGTCTTTATAGGGAAGATCAGCTGTTCAGATATGTCAAGGAGTTGGTGGTACCTGTTTTTGATTATTCCAAATGGAGTAAAATTACATGAGAAAAACTGCTTAGACTTGTTACTAAGTCCCTGGTTGAGGTCCCAGAAGAATTTAAGGAAAGCTCTGGTTTCTTTTGTACAGGGACAACGGTCATTCCCTGACTGGCATCCCTGTACTTCAGGGTTCATTCAGAAGTTCATGAAGGTTTTGATTATTTGTATCTGGAGTAACTGGGATCACTTGATCAAGAAATTTAACATAGCTGTATAACACAGCAATATTTTGTATGCACCTTGATGTGTTATGACAGGACAAACATTAGAATTCCTGGCATATCAGTTAATAAAAATCATCACACAACATCCCCAGGCCACCGTTCTGTAATTAAAATAATTGGTCAGGGGGTGGCAGGCTTGCACTGAGTTTATTGAATTTTTGGAAAGAGTTGTCTTCTAAGTTGGATTTTCAGGTTAATGCGGGAAAATTCTCTCTGTTCTTCAACATGGCCAAGAACAAAGAAAATAACTTTCTAAAACCATGTCTGATGTTATGCTCAGAACCAGGAATTTCTAAAATTAGGCCCAGACAGAGTAGTGCCAAGGCCGTATGTGACCAAAGCATTCTCCTCTGCACTCTCTCCTGCTTATCCTGGTGTGAAAACCTGGCGTAGCAGATAATACTACTACTAAAGGCACTTGTTAGGTTCAGAGGTTGGTTAAGCCAAAAACAGTAATAAGGATGAAGTGACCACAGATTATTTATATTATGTGCAAAATCAACACATGACTTCTAATAAGTTAAAATTTCTGCTCCTAAAATTTAGCTCTTGGGCTGCAATTTTGAAAATAACAAATTGCTTAGCAGTTCTTAGACATTTGTTATCTGTGACTTTCAGGTTTTGGGGGAAGACATGCAGTTAGTATCAAATGCAGTGGCCTTAATAGCTGTATGTACTTACCAATCTACAGTAATGTTAGTCACTATCTTTTTAAAAATAAGATTACATATATGTTGAAGATTGGAAATGATTTTTCCATAGATCAGAAACATTTAAAATTCAGACTTCCAAATATTTTCTAAAGAAGTCAGAGTTTAGCGCCAACCTAAGTTTTTCTGGTCTCAGTCCTCCCTCTCTGTAATGTTGTTTCCATTTTATCCAAGGGAAATCCTTTCTTGCATCATCCCGTAGTACCATTAAATGTCAATTGTGTTTTGTTTTGCAGAGCCCTGTCCTCCAGTATCTTTATTATCTTGCCCAAATACCTATTGCTATGTCTCCACTTAGCAACAACAGCCTATTCCTGGAGTACTCAAAAAATCCACTACGGGAATTTCTACATAAGGGACTTCACGTCTCTCTCTCCACAGATGATCCTATGCAGTTTCATTACACGAAGGTAAGAATTGCAGAAAGCACTTGTCTTTGAATTTGGCAACAGTACCGCACAGAGCTGGAATGACCTGAAAGCTGGTTTATGTCATTGCTTAGGATATAGTGTTTCATGTCTTTTCAGTCACTTCATTCATTATTCTTCCTCATTCTCAGTGCACTACTCACTGCTAGGTTTCAGAGGGAAATGTCTGATTTCCTAATTACGTTTCTTTTGTACTCTTGCCTCTCCAGTGTTGGCTGTTGAAGTATAGAATGAAGGATGAGGCTGAAGGGAGGTTTGAGCCTTCATAAACAATCCTCTAGAGTGCCAGGAAAGTCCAGTTTCCTTACTAATAAAACTGGGGAAGTACATTACCAAAACACCACGTGGAATCTCTGAAGATGATGTACGAGCTGTTTGCTCAGTGGAGTGATTTTTGCCTTTGGGTAGCCTGGCAGGACAGAAATGCCAGGTCACTGTTGTTGATGCCCCGAGTTTGTGGTTGGCGCTGACTTGAGCCATGCTGTGCCTGAAAGTGGCCTGTACGTTGCTCAACTGTCTGTGTTCTCAGGACAGGCTGAGCTCTGGTGCGCTTCACCCAGGCTTGCTCCTGGCCCATGACACCTCTCTGCTAGAAAAGACACAGAGCTTCTGTGGGGGCTTTCTGCATGGATGTAACGCAGCACCAGCTGAGTTACACATAGTGTGGAAGATCCTCAGCTGTGACAGCCCACTAGAGTCAGACCCAAACTCCTTGTGTGGAATGTCAGAAGTGAGAAATTGCCCTGCTGTCTTTGTGCATATTCCTTAGAAATTTAAGACTAGATCCTCCAAGGTGTTTATGTACCCTGGAAGCTCATTTGAAATTGCCTAAAAAACGCCTCTCGGGATCTGGACTGCAGGCTGCAATTTCTTAGACTAAGATAACTGGGTACCCAGTGCCTATTAATTATTAAACAGTCACCCTTGGGAAATTTGAAATAAACAATTCCGTTTGTTAGTGATTGTGATGTTAAAGGCTTAAACCTCTTAATTTTTCACAGCTGCCTAAAGAGCATGTACAAATTCCTTAATTAGTAATGAGTGCATATCACCATTTATATCTTATTTACATATAATTTAACATTAAACATATTTTGGTGCTACAGGAAGCTCTCATGGAAGAATATGCTATTGCAGCCCAGGTGTGGAAACTAAGTACCTGTGACTTGTGTGAAATAGCAAGAAACAGCGTACTACAGAGCGGGCTGTCAGACAAGGTAATGATGGCTGGAATAAGGTCTCTTGTAAATATTAGGGCAGGTAGGAACTGAGAAGTCAACGGTCTGAAAATTGAATAGTAGGTGCTTATGTGATGTATTTGTGCATATCTCTATCCTCTTCTTCAGAAATACTCACAGACTATCTGCTATGCAGTCTTTCATTAAAACAAAAGGCTTCATGTTACATTTTTCCTCATCAGCTTTGTTTTGGAACTCCCAAAACATGCAGACAGACCAGGTGCCTTTTTATACTCAGTTCTGCCTCTAGTCCCAAACCTTTAATTGTTTGGGTGATATCCCTTTGCCAGTAATTTTATACATCATGTCTTGCACTGAGTAAAAACAAACTGCCTGTCAAAAGCATGACGTGTTTTTGCTGAGAAAGGAGTACTACAGAAAATATTCTTGTTTAGATAGGCGGTCAGGTTAGATTAAATCCCTTTTGGCTTTAAAAGACTACAACCAGGGCTTTCTCTAGGACTTATTTTAGAGCATCCTCTCTTCTGTGTCACTTCCCAACATTCCTCTCAAAAAGCTGGTATGCCAAGGGGCTTTACAAGTACGTCCTCTTGTCTCTTCCAGTATTCTCTAGTGACAGCTACTAATTTTCCTTTTGTGCAACATTTAACTAACAAAAGAAACCTAAGCCTCTTTTTGTCCTCACATGAAAGATGTAGTAAAAACCGAACACAAGCACAAAGGGTTTTAGCAAGCCAGACTGAGTGCACTGCTGAGTAATTATATATATAAACTTTGGCCTTAAAATCTCCAAAACTGGTTAAGACTCTGAGGTAAGGTTCTATGGCCAGCTGGTTGAAGCTGCTCTTTTCACTTGCACTGGAGTAATTCGACTAACAAGCACTCAGTTATGCAATAAATCAGAGCAGCTGAACTGACTTCTTCCTTTTTATGTTTAATCCTGTTCACAGGAAAAACAGAAATTCTTAGGGGTGAATTACTGTAAAGAAGGGCCTGAGGGAAATGACATTCGAAAGACAAACGTTGCACAGATCCGGATGGCCTTCAGGTACGAGACACTGTGCAATGAACTTAGTTTCCTGTCTGATGCTATGAGAACAGAAGAGATTTCTACTCTGTCGAAGTAGTTGCAAAATGAAAGAAACCAGAACATTTCACTCCCAAGCAGGATGAGATGCTAATTAACATTGAATCATCTGTCTTTGATACTACCAAGACATAAGTGATCAGTACAGAGAAAACCAGAGAATCTATGGAAGGTAAACAGCATTTGCTGTTCTCTTTTACTGCATTGTTCTCCTTGCAAAAATTTCAGTTTCTACAAACATTAGGCTTTGTAAGATTGCTGTAAATATTAAATGCAAACTCAGAATCATGTAATATTTGTTTCATACTGTCTTAACTGTGTACTATATTGTAGCTTGGAAAACAACAGAGAATATTCCTAGCGCATCTGTGATATGCACCTTAGGATTCTGCAGATGCTGCCAGTAAACATGCACCTGGTTTTGTCCTGCTGGTCTCAGTAGCAATTATGGCATTTAGCACTTGCAAGTTTAATCCTTTATTCATTAGCAGTTTGTATGGGGTGCATAATTTTGAGGCTACCCTTCCATTCTGGAAGGTGTTCTAGACACAGTTCTTATCTCAATGTTTCAGCAGTTACACTGGAAAACAAGAAAAACCAAAATCTGGTAGTCTTGTTTAATGACTAATTAATTACTTCCTGTTGTCATGTAGGATGTCGGTGAAGAACAGCAAATTAATGCTTTTTAATCTATTAAGCAGAAAACACGGTGTCCAAATCATCACTATTGTACATTGTAATAATGAGTCTAACTGTATCATGAAAACTGCCTTGAAAGTTGAGAACACTTTTTTATTGCTTTGTAATAGGAATATGTGGCTATGCCAGTTCAGATTACTTGGAAAATTTATGCAGATAATTTTGGTTGCATTTAAAGAGAAATTTTTTACTTGAACAAAGGAAGTGTTCTTATGCGTCAGTGGTAGAAACTCCAGACATGGATTCTGGTCCTACTTCTGACATCTTTTTACACATTTGTGTTAGTTTGTATTTTAGCCAACTAGAGTTGAATGAAAAGTCAAACTGTCTATTTATACAGAAGCCAGCCCACTTGAAATACGTCATTTCAAATCATGTTATGTTAAACTTTTTATTTATGGAGTGGCTAGTAAAATACAGCTACTAGAATATTTACTTTCCATTTTTTAATGTATGATCATCCGTAGGACACAGTACTACTCATTCAGAAAGTACTGAACGTAGTAACATGATAGCATCTATGTATTGTAGAAGCTGCATGTAACTTCCACACCAAAAAAGCCTCAAGGCTAGGGACAGGAGAGGATGTTGTTGCCTCTAAGTCCAACTTAATTTGGAGGCCTGTAGTCCCTACGCTAGGATCTTGAGCCTATGGTTGGAGATCTGGGTATCTTAATATAAGACTCTCTTAATATAAGAGAGGTTAGGCATCTTGGAACAGTAATTCAGAATTAATGCATAAGAAGCAAGTACTGAATACTACCCAGTCAAGCCTCATTAGACCTAGAACCTGCGTGTTTTACATCAGACATCTTGGGCCACTTGTATTTCTTAGGCCAGGCCCTTCTCCTGGGGCTTGGGCATCTACATCCTTCCTTTCTAGAGTTTACCAGGTCTCACTGTCCCATGTAAGTGCAGCCACAAGTTGCAGTCGTGACATCACCAGTATCAAACAACTCATTAATGCCATAAATGTGTACATGCATTGAAGACAGACGCTGTCTCCTTGGCTGTGGCAGTTCAAAGCAATACAAGGACGCTTTTTTAATGTACCTGCTGTCCTGGATGGTGATTGCTGGGAAATGGCACCAAAGCAAGGGAAGGAGGAATTCCTTATCACCTCCTATAGCTGTGCAGCCCTATAAGAGCCCTGTAAGAGAGATTAAACTTAAAGACCATTGGGAAGCAGCCTGGAAGTTCGGCTGCTCCAAGCGAGACCAAGGCACAGGAGCAGAGTTCTGGCCATCCCCCCATACCGTTACAGTTCGTCAGTGTCATGCACAGGGAGCTGCAGTGATTGCAGATGTTCTTCATCCCAAATATGGTTGCAGACAGGTGACAGGAGACTTGACTTCAGCTCCTCAGTGACCTAGCCTAATGTCTGCAGTGTTCAGCTACTGCCACGTTTTATATTCCTTGTGCAGCTAAAAATTGTGTGAAACTGTGCCGTGCTGCCCAACTGTATGGTAATAAAATGGTCCAGTTCTTTGTCTGCAGCACTGATTGGCCTCGCTGTTAGAAACTTTAGCAGCTCATATAATGCATTATCAGGATTGGTGAGTGCAATTCTCTTAGGATCAAGTGTGAAAACAGCAGTTCACACGTTTTAGCTGCAGAAAATGCAGATGTCTTGTTTTCATCAACATCACATTATTTACCTGAGAAAAGCAGCTGCATCCAGGCTAAATAAGCAACATGTTTGGTTTGAAGAATTTAAATTGTATTTTAATCTGACAAACACTGCTTTACTTGGGTTGTTTCACCTGAAGGTTGCTATAAGCACTGATTTTTGTTGACACTTAGATTTCCGATTTAGTGTTCTTAATATTATACCAAATTCATGTATGTTTAATACCTTCGTAGCTTTCCTTACCTCAAACACATCAGGTTCTGTAGCTCTTGTTACAAAACACAAAACTGGATTTGACTGTTCAGTTAATGGACAGTAATTGGGATTTTGACAACAATAACACACAAGTGGCCATGACCGTAGGTTCTGCTTTCTGTGCTGCTTTGTGTGCTGCTTTTGCTGAGCTAATAGCGTTACATTTAGTGAAACAAACTGACATCCTTTCAAGCTTCCACTACCACATCTCTTTTGGTCATCTTTTAATTAGGCAAAAGGTATTGATTCTCCAGTTCAGTTCTTAAACTTCAGCCTCTTGTCTTTTTTTAAAGTCGCACTTTTGTTCGAAGGTATGGCTGTTAAAAATAACCTTGCAGTCTTAGGATACTTAAGTAACGGAGGGCAGACCCACTCTTGAGGTGTTACTGACATCCTAATTGCTGCTCTACACATTTACTCAAATGCAAGACAGGGCGGTCGCTGACACCCTCCCTGCCTCCCGACAGTGCTGAGATCAAACCTGGCTACACCACAGCTCACGTTCTGCTTACACCAGGACTAGAAGAATGCCTCTGTCGGTGCTGATTGGGCTTCAGAACGGGAGAATATCCTATTTCCTCATCATTTCACTGGTGTTAAGGTTCAAATATTATTCATGACTTCCTTAAACCTGTTAGCTCAGAGCATTTTATACTTTCATTTACAATAGTTAATGATGGTTAGTTGATATTTTCAGCATATCCATCTGAATAATTTCTAGTGATCCTCTTCCATTGTTACGTGACTTTAGCAAACTAAGGGCATTTGCTCTGCCACTGGGTAACGCAATGTTTTTTTCTCAGCCCAGAGCTACCGTATCTTCTCATATCACTGTTTACTTCAGGCTAAACCTTTCTGATCTGTTTGCCTAGTTAAAATGTCAGTCTGAAAAAGGTGGGTGGGGGAGGGATGTCTGTAGAAATGGCTTTTTCTTTCTGTGCCTGGGTTCAATGATGTTTATCTTTTGCCTCTTGTGGAAGCATTAAACATTACACTAATAAATAAATTATAAAAGAATATGGTTAGGATTTTTTTGTGTGTGTACTTCTCAATTAAGTTGTAGCTGCTCAGGATCTCTGCAATTAAAACAGCCATACAGAAGACTAAACCAACATTAAGGATGACGACAGTGGTGACAGGGAAGTACTAAGCACTGTTTAGGAAAGCTAAAAGCTCAGCTGACTTAAAGCAATTCAGTGTTATGAAAACCAACTGTTCTTTGTGCCAACAGACCACCTGGCATTAAGTCCTGAAGTGAAGCTGTACTGCAGGGCTGGCCCCATTCTCTGTTGGTGCCCTTGTTCCCTGCTCACCCAAACTGAGCATCAGTTTTGCCTCTTCCTGATCCTGGAGCATCATGCTGATATTAATCTGAGAGTCAAAACCTGCATTTGGGAGCAGGAAAGCAATTCTGATGCTCACAGTTGACACAATTTAAGCAGGATACAGAACAGTTTGCTCTGACAAAAAGAACACCAAGATTCAGAAACCAACAAGTGACAAACTGAAATACACAGTTAGCTGATACCACCATACACATTCTGCTACAATCAAGATGACTCTTGAGGAAAAAAAGAAGGTTAACACGAATTACTTTCTACAGTAGGAAATGTAATAAAGATTTCTAGATGAAGATTAAAATGTGTGTGTCTTTCTGTACACAAGCAGCACTCCTGAAGCACAAGAGTACAGATTAATCCACAACTGAAGGATGTGTGTTCTCCCCATCCCTCTCCAAGCACTGCATATCAATAGAGAACATTACACGTAACAGTGAGACACCAACACTGCTGACTCATTAATCATGACTGATGGATACAGTCTCACTTAAGAAACACTTTTTGGAAGGTGGGTTGGAACCACAGTAGCAGGGAAGCACAGACTGGTGTATCAAAAGCCTACCTTGTTCCACATACAATCAAATTCCAGCAGGGCAGGTTTCTAACTAATTTAAGCTTAATAAAAACACCTTGTACTTTTAAACAGCACTTTGAACCAAAGACGAGTGCTCTTTTAATTACCTGCTTGATAGCATTCTCCATTCCACCAGACTCACACTGGGCAAAGTTCCATCCCAGCTCACAAAACCGATTCTTTGTTTTGTTTTGTTTTCAGATTTACAGCCTACAAAACCCATGCCCAGTGTTTAATGTTGTAACCTCACCAGTCAGGTTAGCGAGGTGAGCACTAGGTGAGCAATCGCCTGCTAATTAACATCCTGACAGCTCAGATACAAAAGCAGAACCTGTTGTCAGCTCCCTTACAGACGTAACATTCACTGGCCCATGGCTCGTTCACAGCAAAACTGTCCGCTGCATGAGGGGAAAAGAGCACTGACCCATTCAGGGTCATTTCAGCTATATGTAGCAACAGGAGAACGTTCAGGCTTGAGAGCATGTTGCCCTATGATAAATTCTAGGCCTTAGGACCAAACATCTGAAGAAATGACAATTTAA